GGTATAGTTTTTACACAGAATATACTCCGGTGTCCTGTTATATTTTAGATAGCAAGGAGCAGATGGCTGAGTTTATTAAACTCCACCGAAACAATCTGCAAATTTCATTAAAATTTATTAAACTATCATCTTGTCTTTATTTTTAGTTAGCACATACCTTAAACACTTAAAGCTGTAAGATAATGATAGATCAGATGCATGCTGGTGCAATAAGCTGTACGCTTTATGTCCAATGGATGCATGATCTGATTATTCGACTAATCGCAAAAATAATCGGTGACTAGTCGACTATCAAAATAATCGTTTGTGGCAGCCCTACTTCCAACTGAAATATTGGGCTGTGTATTGGAATATGTCTATACAAAATATGTTTTTTAAAATCTTGGTCATACTGTTTCAGAGAGGATTATCTGGGGTTCACCCATTGAACCATTGGCTAACAACTTGCCATTAGCCAATGGGTGGCTTCATAGTCAGACCCGCCCCCTTCACAACTTCCAGTTTGTTGCATTGCACCTGAAAGTTGTATCTCAAAGCTTCAAAATAGGACTTAAGAAACAAATGGATCATGTCACTGTAGTTTTACTATACTTTATGCTTTAGTGTCCCCAAAGAGGAAATTTGTTGTTGTGTCCAAGCTCAAGCTGCCAGCAGGACAGCCACTATAACTACCATGTAGATACAGCTAAATCTATCTGTCTGTGGCGTATGCTCACAGAGCAATGTCAGAACTGGAATATTGAAGGACAATAAGGATAAGTGTTAAATTGTAAATGCAAACCAATAAACAAGGACTGGGTGTGGGTCATTATGTTTTTGTGTCACTCAGCTGGATTTTCATTAGCCTACCCTTATATATATTATTATATTATACACACACACACACACACACACACACACACACAAGGGGATTTAAGGGGCAAAAACTCTACCAAGGCAAATGCTGTATTCAGCCGTTTTGAAGAAAGTGATTTTTCTTTAAAATGGCCCAAATTTAAAGGGCACCCATGTGTACCCATGTGCTCTACTTCTCAGGTTTTCTTGGTAGTTTTTTCCATGCTCCTAATGACAGGCAGACAAACAGAACAGCAAACATAGCTTATAAAGGCTTTATCAGAGGAATAAATTGTAATGATGGAAGTCATTTTGGTGTTGTATGAGAGTACTGTGCATACTCACACACATATTTTAAGTACTTGATCTACTCCTCATTTAGTCTGTCCAGCTGTCACGGGTCTGTTAATAAGGTGGGCCTCAAAGCAACAGGAACTTAATGGTTATTTTTAATCATTAAAATGTGTGCGCTTTTACGCTATTTTACAGACCCCCCAAATAAAGTTAAAAACCTGTAAATAGCCACAGTGTGTGTGTGTTTTTTTTAATATATTGTCAGAAGCTGATTTATTTAAAAATAAGATCTGAAATACTTCTCAGCTTCTGTGTTTTTCTTTGTTTCCCTGTGCCTCGTATATTTTCTCTTCACCTGGTTTTACTCTCCAGAGAGTTTTGATTTTATGCCTTTATATCTGTATTCACAGCTGTGTCTCTCAGTGCTTCATGGCATCTTGCTGCTTATGTCTGTCTCCAGAGATGCTTCATAGGAATATTCAATACCCCCTAAAGACTTGTTTCATCGGTGGGCTTTCAGATCACTGTGAGCATAAGCTTTTAAGAAGCAGTAGTTGAATCTGACATTGCATTTTAAATCAAATGACACGACCATATTTCAATATCAGAGGTGTGATATCTCTTATCAGACAGGTGACATTCTTCTCATTGAAGTCTGTGTAATGACGGCGCCATACAGTGGCACTCGTGTATGTATTAGACAAGATCCACTACAAGTTTACACATGCTTTTGCTGCCGTGGCTCAGCGGTTGGCGTTTCAAATTCAAGCTGCGTCGCGTTCTTGCTGCCGGCGGCTGTGGCAGGATGATGCCTGAGGTGCCTCCTCAGAGGACCGTGCCCTCGTTACTCCTCAACTTGACTTTGGGTTTCACAAAGCGAGCCCTTTGTTTACGCTGACAGGATGCGCTGGCTACTGACCTGGAAAAAGGTGGCCAAGACGGGTTGTCTTGTAAGGAAGTAAGGGAGGCTGGTGATGTATTGGCTCCTTCTGGGACCTTTCATGGAAGTGCTGTGGAGAGGCCCTGCAATCCCTCTCTCTGCTCATCTTCTCTTCTTTCTCTCTCCTCATCCTACTATCTGTCTCTGTTCCCCACTCTAGCCTCTGCTCTCATCCCATCTAGTCAGTAGTGGTTTTGCATGAATCTCCCCATACCATGTCCCCCCCCCTCAACCAGTCACCGGGGTCATTCATCATTATTGTCAAGGGGGTAATGTGTGTGGGTGGGTGCAGAGATCTATGACTTCTTCATTTGAATGAACCTCATTAGATTGACTCTTCTTTGTAAAGGATCCCTTTAGAAAATAACTCTGGCAGTTATTTAGGTTATTCTCACATGATAGCCAATGGAACATGACGCTTCAGCCAAGCATGTTTGCTCGAACGATGGAAGAGTCTCTGCGATGCAGTTTGCAGGTTATATTTTGCTTTATCACTCTGCCCTGCATACCTAAATTTACATAGCAATGCAGTATAGGACCTTGAGGTTGACTTGTGGTACCCACATGCTGTCAATTTGATGCAATCTCTCTTTTTTTTACTGACTCTACTGCTTGTTTACAACTATGAATGAGCCTGTTGTACAAGGGCAAGCGGCTCGGGTCTTTGAAATCAGACTTTAAATTCTTTGTAATTTATTCTTAGAAAAAGCTGTCTCCTTAAATAAAGTAAAACTACTCGTGCTGTGTGCGCAGTGTCTCAGTCTCAGTTTACCCACGTCTTCACTCTGGATACATTACAGAAGGTTTATTTTTTTTTTAAAAAAGATACATTCCACATTTACCATAAATATATTCCCTGCTTTCCCACGTTGAAGTTTGCCTCCCTTATTAGAGCAGATCCTTGTCAGGGCATCTTTAATCAGCCCAGTCCCAAGAGATGATATTTTTAGCCACCTTTTTGGAGGCTAAGACTCCTTTACCCACGCAGAGCACTAATGAGATGGAGCAGTAGTGTAGGCAAGCGTTAATTAAGGCTAGTATGCAAAGGAAGAGGCAAAAGCAGCACGCTCATGGCATACATACATTAACTTTATCCCACCTCCTGCATGTTTTCTCTCTCCTTGTTTTTTTCCCCTTATTTTTTTCCACGTAGGTTGCACAAACAACAGATGGCTCTGACGCCGACCTGAGGAAGGACGGCTTATTCAAATCCAAGGTCACTCGCTACCTCTGTTTCACCAGGAAAACTGTAAGCGTGAATGTAAACTTCTCCCTTTTCCTATGCGCTCTGCACTAGCTCCTCATCTGCTGCACCTTCTTTTTTGATTGTTGTATGCCAATGGTCATTAGCTCACTTTTTGCTGCCAGAATATCTTAATAGGCCTTGTGTTTGTATGAGTCAAAGTCCCACTTTAAAAAAGCCAGGACTGGTAGTGCAGTTTTAAAGTTTTCAATAAAATGGATATGCATGCATATTCTGGATGGATAATACCTGGAAGAGGTATTTTTCATGTTGGTGGCCCTCGAAGATATTATTTATGTTTATTCATGAAATAGCAATGAGCTGTATTTTAACTATTCCAATTTATCTGATCAGCAGCAGCCATGGTTACCAAAGCTTATGTACATATAGCATTTGAATCACAAAATGCCTCCTATTTATGCAAGAGAAAATGCTGTAGGATATATATATATATATATTTACAGAGAGAGAGCTCCTGATTTGAGTAGCCACGACTCCTCTGTGGCTGAAATGATCTTTGCATTGTATTTCTCATAATGCTGTTGGGGCATTTTTTTGACTCCTCTCCTGCCTGCAGCCTACAGCTGATGTGTTTCTGCTTGGCTGTCAGCTGCTCTGTGGCCATAAATACACCTGCTTACATTGCCAGGATAATCAACCTGTCTAACCTCAGCGCATACAGCTTACTATTGGTCGTCTATTAATTAAGTTTCCGTGGGTTGCAGGTGGACGGTGCAGGCAGTAAACAAAACCTGCATTTTTGTTATTACTTTGCATCAGCTCAATTTTAGGACTTAATCGAGTCCGATTCTTTTTCGGCATCCCCCTTAAAGTCAGGCAACCTGGCAGCGGCTGCCTCGTGCCGGAGCTCAATCTGGCCCTCGGTTTAGTATATAGCATACAAATGGCCTTCCCCTAGTTCCTGTATATTATCTTAAAATGCGTGTCCACATTGTTTTGAAGACTTTGACGCAAATAAAACATGACAGAGCCATCAACAAAGGCTATTTTGTCTGCCAGTCAATGGAGCTCCCACTGTAATTGTCTATGACAAAAACAGATTCTGTAGAATTAGCCCCTGTATTATGTGGGGAGAAGTAAATAGTTTGTGATTTATCATACTCTAGGTTGAAGGTAGATAGCCCCCTTTGTCAGGTTGCGAAGGAAAAATTCTCCCCGGAAAAAAAAGGGGGGGAAACACTAAAAAAAAAAGGTTTCATGCATAGTAATAACATTCATCCATATTCCTCCTTACGTCAGTGTAAAAACTATGAATAAAAAATGTCTCTAATGGTAATGACTGTCGGGCAACAGTGGCAGTGGAATCCAGGCTTTTCGGACGCATCAAGTCACGCCTGGCTCGCCCCACTCTCTACTGCCGCTGTGTATTATTGCAATTTATTATGGCAAAAAATGAAAATGTAATGGGAGACAGGGAAGAGTCATGCTTGAAAATGTCAGCTACACAGTCCGTGATTATTTTTAACTAGTCCCATTCTGTTGATCAGACTGCCTGCTCTGTCTCCCATCACCCCATAGCTTCTCGCCAAAAGGTTGAGAATGATTACAAGTTCACACATGCATTCTCTCACTCCAGAAAAAGCTATTAGAGAGTAATTACGTGAGCTATTTTGTCAACCATTCTCTTTAGAGACTTCTTGAGCTTTTAGTAAATCATTGAGTCTATTATCTCTACATTTTCCTCCCTGAGCAACCAAAAAAATGACTAACCTTTTTCTCATTCTTGCTCTCTGTCCTTTCCAAAGTTGCATTTGCATATATTATTTTTAAAAGTTGCTGCCTCCGCGCTGTCATTCGTGCAGGGGCCCGATGTTGTCGTGGACATGAAGCTGACTGATACTAAAGACGCCCTGCCAGAGTCGTTCACACCAATGCAAGAAACAATGGACACAAGTAGGTAAACAGTCAATACCGACCACAGGCTCACTCCCTTCCTCTTGCTTGTTTTTTTTTCCTCCACCACTCTCCGACCAGCTTATGCCGAGGTCCTCAGGGGCAGCTTTGCTTGAGATAGTGAATGTTTTATGGGTGCAGGTTAGCTTAATTTATGGCAGGCTGTGGGAATAAAATAAACATTTTGCCCTGGAGGTACAAGAGAAGAGAATCATGAGTCATTGTTTATCTCAGCTGGAGCTGTGCTTTTCTTTATGAGGGCCTTATTTATGTATTTATTTGGGGAGAGGACGAGTGGATGGGGGTTATCTAATATTAATGAAATGCATTCCCCAATGCTTTAGTGCTTTTTGAGTGCTACGTATTTCCCCCTCACTATCCACGCTGTGGAAATGTAATAATATTTTGGTGTGGGGAGTGAGGACAGCTTGTTTATTATTTTTATTATCATTGCATTTACACTGCACTTTCTAGTGTTGCTGGGGAAATAAATGAGCAAGGCACAGATGCAATATAGGGAAAGCATGGCAATGTGTTTTTTTTTTCTTTTTTCTTTTTGCCAGAATGAAGAAAAGAGATTATGTTTTGTTTGGCTATGTTGTAATTTAATGTTTTATTACTTTATGTGAATCCATGTTTAATGTATACATGTGACATTATGTATGAGTTTCTATCTAGAATATTGAGTTTAAATCCCCGTTGTGCTCTAAAGCTGATGGAGGATTCACTTAGTTCTGTCATTTTACCTACTAAAGCGATAAAAATGATAATAACACATGTGAATTTTGTGGCTTTCCAGTGTCCACTCATTTCCCCTTTGAGCACAGCAAGTCACCCACAAACTGATATTAGCTCATCTTTTATTCGGAGGATGGTAATGACTAAATAGCAAAGCATAAATGGGATTTGTGAATATATATTTTTTCCTAGAGGCTCAAACTGTCGACAGGTTTTTTTTTCCTTTTCTTTAGCCCCAAACTGGGGAGAAAACAGAACTGAATAATCAACTAACAATTTCTCTCTGACATCCTCATATTTACTTGACTCATCAGAGGAAGCTGCAATGAGGAAGAGGAGGCTGTGTGTGAAAATGAGCCCTCGTGAGGATGCGAAGACAGCTGTATGTGACATCCAGATCACGGCAAAGTCCAAGACCCATCTTGTTAACTACACCTGTGTAGGGTGAGCTATTTGACAGCGGGAATGAATGAAATCGTCAAGTTTTGTAACTTTTCTCATTTTGCCATTTGCAGGTAAAACTGCTAACCAAGCTGTTGTGTGGCTTTTTTTCATTCGTACACAGCGAACTAAACAACATGGGAATATGGTATCGGTTGGGAGATGTTCGCCAGCATCAGCCGTCTAGAGTCACGTCCGGCAGGGTCGAAAGCGACGCCCGACCCGGCACAGCGAGGTAACGCCCCGCCACAATATTCAGCTGTGCGTCTCGGGTTTTAACTTTTCCTCCTTGCCTTACTTTTCATTTCCTGTGCTTGTGAGCTTTTGTTACGCTCCTGTGCCTCTTGTACGCCAACAAAGACACGAGCAATTGATCACTCCCGGGCAATCTGCTGTAAAGGTTGCTGCTGGACAACAAGGTAGCGAGGGTGAACTGGATAGACGGGGCTAACTAGACAGGAACCCCTGAACAAGAACAGAAGTTCAATGAGGGCTAAACTCCTGCTATTTGTGTAGTGTCCCAGGAGGCAGAGGGAGGTCGCTCCTCCGACTGCGGTGACAAGAGGGTTGTAGTTTGCAGACAAAAAAAGGAGGAGATGTAGCCCGGAGAGGGAGCGACAGCTGCAGAGGAAGGGAGAGCACCAAGATCTCCTCCACGCTGGTATTCGTGTGTCCCCGCCTCTGCTCATGCTGCTCCGGCTTCCTCTGCCTCGGGCCTTCGAGTGAACGGAGCAAACCTTTGTACTGTGTCCAGAGCAAACAGCTCAATTATTTATCGCAATGAAGAGCTGGGGATTTCCACAGCAAATTGTAAATAAACAATCGAGACTCCTTTGGTGTGGCGGTGCTGTGGAGGGCGAAGCTTGGCACAGCGATCTGACGTCTTTGCCAGCTTGAAGTGCTACGTTCTGCCATCCTGTGCCGGGCTGAGTAAAAGCTCCAGCAGGCCAGAGCGGTGGAAGTCACCAGCAGGAGTATTCAAAACAGAGCTTCTGTTCGCCGTGGCTGTGCAGTGGGGTGAGAACCATTAAAACTGGAAGGCTGTGGATTCAAAACCCCAGGTTCAGACCGCGTGGAGTTTTGTGAATCGTCCATATTTTGGAAGCCGATGGTCAATAATCTTTGATGTGATAAAGTTAGATCGAGTGCTTGGGCCCACGTGCGCCTTCACAGCTCTCTTGCCGGTAATCCTCAGTTCTTTTGAAGCCCACTTTCAAGTTGGTGAGGCACAGAGGTTGGAATAAATTGTACCTCGAAGCGACTCACACACCCACTGCCCCCCCCCCTTACTCTCGATGCCTGCTGAGATCACAGGCCGCTGTTTTTGTGTTAACATTAAAATTCATTCCACAGTCAGACTCTTCTTTTGAGAGTATTTCCATCCGTAATGCACCGACGCATAAGGACGAAACTGTGGGCAATTTATACAGTGGCAGTTCTTACATGTACTTCAGACAGCCATACATAAAGCCATAAATAGTTCTGTAATTTTTTTTAAGTCACAGATAAGATAGTTTGACACAGTGATTTATAAACAGCTCCTCAACAAGCACCGATTCCCTGAAGAAGTACAGTAACACAGTGTAACTGTCTGTGCAGTGTTACCCCACTATACTTTATTCATATTCAGCAAGAGAAAATTCTCTCCTTCACGCCTCCTTCGGGCTATCTATTACAACTTTATGGCCGTTGGAGAATAGCACCTCTTAAATTTAAGTGCTCTTTACAGTCAGTGGAAAAGATGTTTTAAATACAGTCAATAATGTATAAATTTTTAATGACCCTTATAATTTTGAAAGCTGCAGTGATCCCTCTCAAATGTTACGTTGCCTCGGGCGGCGAGAGCTCGTTAGGGTTGTATACAAACGTAAACCGCAAATCAGGTTTTTTCGGCGGAAACAGAGCTGCAGTAACTGCAGAGCGTTGCATCATTACGGGACACGCGCAGTTACTGCGTCGAGGCCAAGGTGTTATATTTAAATTGCTTTTGTATCATTTTTGTCAGCTGTAAAACGCAGGGGCTGAGAAGTTTCGGTTTCGCTTTAAGAGTCCGAAATTGAATTTGCAAAAATCTTAAAACACTTTAGCTTTTCTTTCGTGGGCACTAATGCTAGTTATAAGTGGTTTCTGTGTGAAATAATGAGCCCGGTGAGGGCTTTCCTTTGGCGTGACTCAGAGGTTCAGTCAGCGCCATCAGACCTATTTTAACCTACTGCTAAGCACAGTATAGGGAAGTTTATACTAGAATTATGGCTTCAAGTAATTATTTACCTTCAGGATTATTGTAATAAGTCTCTTTTATAATTAGTTTATAAAATTATCAGTATAAAGGAAACAGCCATGAAAATTGCCTCACCCTGTGTGACTGGGGTTGCAAAACCTAAAAAAAAGACTGGGGCTGAAATTATTCATTGGACTTCTGGCTTGTTTGCTGTGTCCAGGTGGCATTAAATTCATACATTATAATAAAAATTGTTATTGACTACTGTGAAGTGCTACAGATAATAAAAAACAGAAATGCTTTTTCATCATATTTCAGGTTTTATGTTAATCAGACAGGTGTTAAAATGTGATCTACTTTCTATTCAGCGTGAAGGAAAGTCCTAAACAAGTCCGATTTTTTTAATTCAACTTTCATTTAAGCATTAGGAACCTTGAGATTAAAATCTCTGTTTCTAGTGAGATCTGTCATAGAGAGGACACCATAAAAATGACAACATAAGCACACAAAGGAACTCAACAAGTAACGTAACACAAACCATAAAGTGAACAGCAGTTGCACAGTTTTTATAAGAGCTCTGAATTCTACCAGGGAGACAAAAGTATTCTGATTTAGTGAGTTTGAACTTTATTCCGTGACCCAGGTGCAAAATCAGAGGACGCTGCTCTAACGAGTTCAGAAAACGTCCTTGGTGCCTTAAAGAAGCTCTGCTTCTAGAGGAATGCAAGACTCTAGCAGGTGCTTGTAAAACTGCAAAAAGGAATGTTGGGGATTTGTAATGCAATAATTTATTTTCCTCATGCAGTTTAGTAGTTAAAATTATGGATAAACAGTAAAGCTGAAATGGTTGTTTCTCACCGGCTCAGGCTGTTGTGCCATATTGAGCAACTAAAAGTTATAGGGAGGAGGCCCGCTGAGCCGTCTGCTGCGCAAATACATTTAAACACTGTGTGCTTAACGTCTCTTTATCAGGTTTGTCTGAAGCGTCTCAACCCGAGACGGTGTTCTGATTCCATTCATGGCAGCAGGTTGATGTCAACCACTTCAGCTTGTTCTCTGTCAAGACTGACCGTATCAGCAAGTCCCTGACTTTATAATGTTAGGGGGAAAAAAACAGCACCATCCGGTCAGCCTTTTAATGTGGCCAGTAAAGTATCTCCCTGCTTCCTCCTCCTGACCAACGCTGCCATTTGTTCTCCTGATAAAACTGTCATTGTTGAAGCTGGTATCTGACCTCTGCAGTGACTGCTAGCATAAATTAGCCTTATTCTAACATTGCAATTTCTTTTGCCTCACTCAGAATCAAGGTTTTTGACATTCCTCTTAAAATAATGGGCCACTGTACACACTGACACTTTTTAAATCAATCTGTGCAGTGATAAAAATGTCAAGGCAAAGTCTCTTTTTCTTCCATTTCAGAGTTTTTTTTCCCTTTAACACCTGAAGGCTCGATAGTCATCAGTGTCAGAAATGGCACGCGTATCAATACATTTAGGATTGCACAGTCTTCTACCTGTGACACTCCACGCGTTGCTGCTGCTCCGCACGATTATTGTATCAGCTTTCATTGCACGCTGGTTAACCAAGACTTCCCACTGCACACAACTCTTGAGAGAAAGAGACACGGTGACTGTCAGCGTGTCGCATGACAGATCCCCTGTCTGAAGTGTTGAAGAACAATCCTTCCCGGCTCAATCTCACTCATTACTTTGCTACGTTTTGGAAAAAGTTGCAAAAACTAGCCGAGATCAAGCGAATGGATGCAGAGCGGTGCCAGAAATGATCGAATGATCAGCTAAGATCTGATGGGCAGAGACTACTCGGTGATTTGCCACCAAAGTCTAAGAGATTCTCTTTTCAACACCTGACACTGAACTTAAAGGAGGATAATGATGGGTGAGAAAGCAGCTCCCACAAAGCAGCACTGTTGGCACATAGAGGAAGGTGTGGAGATGTTGTCACGGGAAAGGCTAGATGTGTGTCAAAACAAGAGCTTCCAGCTCTCTGTATCGCAGCTCTGGCTCTTCAGTCAGTGATATTACTCTCATTCTCATCTTACCTACCTGCCTGTCTGTCGCCACTGTCTCTTCCACTTTCTCTTCTCCTCCTGTTTTTTTTTTTTAAGTAGACAACTCTTTTCCGCATTTGCTATTTGTAACAACAAAAAATGAACACCACTGAATCGTAATTCATGTTGTCGAATAATCCTTTGTGCTTTGGTTTGCTTTCTTATTTTAACTGATTTTAACTCGGGCAGATTTCGCGGGGAACATAATACTCTTGATCCACGTTGTAATTGTGTAAATCTATCAGGCCGCGTTCCCAGTTTTACTCTAATTTGATGAGGAACTGCACTATAATTGAATATTCAAATTAGGAATATGTGTCAATATGGCTCTCCTTGCCTGAAATGAGGATTAATTGTTGTCAAAACTCTTGTGGCCAACATAACACTGCTGTTGATTAGCAAATGCACTTGCCATGTTTTTTTTTGTTCCTGTTTTGTTTTAAGAATTAGTTGTCTAATTGATTTGCCATATGTTACCCTCTCCAATCCACCTAAAATTGTATTTAGAAATCACCAATTTGGACTGAGACAGTTTTGAGCTTTTCAAACAGATGGGAAAAGAAACCCTGGAGGTTGCCTGTGGAACAGTATTCCACGAGCCTAGTGGGGATTTCCACGAGTACCACATTCACTTTTTAGGTTCACAGATAAATAGCCAGACTCAATGCGGAGCTCCCTGCTCTCTGCGTCTCCTCCGAGCGCTAATATAACACCACAAACTGCGATCCCTTAAAAGACATTTAAACCGTTTGCCTCCACTTTATCACTCCGAGGGACGTCTCTGTGCTTTGAGAGACGCGCACCTTTCTTCCTCAGCTCCTCAGCTGTGGAATCAACCTTTGCAGGGTAAAAGAAGTCTGCCTTGAATATGGCAATCGTTCCCACAAGATTGATGCCAACCTTTTAAAAATTCACCATTGGCCTGGATTTAACATGGCCAAATGCTGATGTAAATGAGGAGGAGAAAAAGTCGACCCTTTCATTGCAAATAAATCTGAGTTGCAGGCTTCAGCTCATAAATACCACAGCCTGTCACGAGTCTTGTTTTATTGCTCTTGATGGAAATTATTGCATTTATTTATGTCGTCCGTAGATACGAGTCTTTGCAAGTCACAACTCGCGCACGTACTAATAGAATGTGCAGATCCGGCTTTAGTCTTAATTTTTTTTTTAAGTTTTACACTCTCCGTCAGTGAAAAATTGATTATGTTTTTTCCCATAAACACACCAAAAACAGTACATAATACGCAGAACGCACTTTGTTATTTGCAGCTTCACACCTGCTCACTCCCAGAATCTGTCCTGTCTGCGTTATAATTCAGATTCCTTTTATAAGCGACTTGTCTTGTTCGTGGTCTCTAACAACAAACTCGCGTGTGCTCTAATGAAAGCAATTCCCCCTTTTTTTTATTGATATCGCCAACTGCTTTGCATTATCATTATAAGAGCATTTGTTTTATAATGCCACCGTTGCTCCCTTTACCTACAAAGCATGTCATGTTATGCAGCTCTCTTGAAGCTGTGAATTCCCCCCACCAGCACCACCACTGCTTGCTGTGGATTTATCGATCCGTAGGGGTGAGTCACAGGGTGTAATTCATGATAGCTTGATTGATGAGGATTTCAATCTTATATGGTTTGTTAACTTCAACTCCCCGCAAAGTGCATTCTGTGCTGTTTTCTGTAATACAAGGCCATGAAAGAGGGAGAGAAGAGGGAAAAAAACAGACTTGCCTTGAATAATGGAATCTCTCAGTTCCTCCAGAATTAACAAGATCCTGCTCCAAACCCCTGCTAAAGGTCTGCTCGAGCCCCTGGGCAGCTGAGGCACAGTTTAACTTCGACCATTTCTCCTCTTCAAGTTCACCCTGTTATTTCAGTGCTCTGTTTTGCCTTTGGACATTTTAGAAAGCCCTTTGTATTTTGGAGGAGTTCTAATGCTTTTAATCCGTAAATAAATTTCCTGCTTTATTATATTTGAATTCCCGAGGGATGTCTTTGGGAGCACAGGTGTTCCAAAACACAAAGTTAACAAGCATTTTTCTTGTGTGTAACGTGACTGAATATTGTTGCTTTTTTTCTCTCTCCAGCTCGAGGATTTACTCTGAGCGTCACGGCACTGGACTCTACACCATGACAGGTAAAAGGTGTCTCACTCACACACACACACACAGACACGCACACACACAAACAGACACACACAAATGTGCTTGTCAGTGCTATTTATGATGCTGTCACTATAGACAATTACATGAAGTGAATATTTGAATATTTCCCAGAATGCACTATGCTGTTAAACTGCTGTCAAAGTTGATATAATGCTTAATGCTTTCTGTGTCGTTTTTGCCGTTTGTAAAAACAACACAAATTTCTGTCTGTACATGGAAAAGCAGCTCCGATGGCACTTGATCTACAAATGCTCTGTCTCAGATGTTCTCACTGCTGGATGCTGGACAGAGCTTTGCTCGTCTCAGAGAACGTGGCTTCCCGGAGGAGCTTGGCATTATGCTCAAGAGAACATTTAACAGCTGTCAAAGACGGTCCGTCACATGCCATACTTACATATGCACCTTTGCATGCACTGGAGGTATTCCTTTGGCTTTGTCAAGGAGAAACTCAACAACAGTTACAATGCTCCGTGACTAAAACACGCGCACACGCACACATACACACACACAAAAAAGGCTAATTCATTAGGAAACAGAGCTTAGACTATGACAGCCTAAGCACCACCGAGTCAGAGCCGGCTGAGACGCTCAAGTCTAAAAGAGTGTGTGAGCCACACGAGGTGAATGAGGCAGGTTTTTATCCAGCTGGAGAGAGACACCATGTGGTGAGGAATCCTCCTGCTGCTCCAGCAGAGTCCCAGGCTATGGCCGTGCTACACCCATCTTATTAAATATATAAAAACATGATGTGACATGTGGATATGTGCAGTTCAGGATACTGATTTTATTTCAGTTTTTTTTTTTTTAATTTATTTATATTTTAAGGACCCTGAATTTAAATCCAGTGATGTTCAAACAAACAAAAAAAAAAGGAAAAGAAATACAGAAGAGACAAAGAGCGTATCATTGACAAAATTACTGATTAATACATCATTGACAGTCATTTTCTTAGATGGTCAGGACAAGTAAGGCCCTGAAGGAGCAGACGTTACCACACAGCTGAACAGTTTGTGGCATTTGGTGTGGGATTCCTCCGCTGGGACGGGGTTTTGAGTGACAGCGAAGGAACCTGCACATACTGTACACGGCGCTGGCAGCAGTCACCATTTATCTCCAGAAAACTGTCCTTTGCAGGTGCACGCTCCCCTTCCTTCTCCTCTTTATGAGCTGGCGAGATTTTTAAGAAAAATTGATAATGGAGTTAGCCTGACACGCTTCTCGCTTTATTACTTGAGACTGCGTACCCGTCAGCCTCGGAGCGTCACACTGCGAGTGTGAGAGGACGCGCCTTCCCTTCATTAACAATATGATGGCCCGCGGACCAAGTGTGAGGTCGTAGCCGACAGCCTATTTGTGTTAATTGTTAGCATGTCGGTAGCCCCGGTGTGTGTTTGTGCGCTGGTGCATGCGCGCCTGCGTGTGTGTGGGCTGACAGCTGGCCAGGTTCGAGTTGGTCTAAAACCATGTGCGCTCTGTCAGGGTTGTACAGGCGCCTTCTTTAGGATTGATGAATTGCCTGCTTTCTTGATTAAACCCTCCGTCACTTCCCAACAAAACAAAAACCCCAACACACACACACACGCGCGCGCGCGCACACACACAAAAAAAGGCGAGTTGAGGGGAGGAGAGGTAACATGTCTGGGAAACCTGTCATCTGCAGTCACATCATGTACAGATGTGATGTGCAGAAGCTTTGACATTTATTACCAGAATATTAAAAACTAATTCACATTTATTTTGCAGCCCTCTTTCGCTTGACAGTTGGAGCTCATTTGAAAAGTTATCAAGTTTTCAATGCAGCTCGAACCGTTTGCTTTTCTTCCACCGCCGTTGCTTTGATCCATGCCAAGTCCCTTTGCCAATTAGGTCTTTTATTCATACCTTGGCAGAAAATCAGGATATTTTTAAAAGTAATTATACATGCATTCGAGCTATCTGTCTAAAAAGCATATGTCTGATAGAATAAATAAATAAATAAATAAATGTAAATGTTTTGAAAAAAACACAAAAAAGCAGCCCCAAACTCTAAAATAAAACCACGTTGCATCGCAGTCTGTCTTTATTACCTGCTGGACAATATATAGCATTCAGCAGGCATCCATCTGATAAAAAGGTAAATGTAATAAAAAGTAATACATTTACATATCTATAGCATTAATCAAAAATAAATACTGACATTGGCCCTGATCTAACATAATATGGAGAGCAATTATTTCCCTATCCATTAGGGGAACTTCAATTAACATACACGAGAAGGTTCATCCTTCAGAGGAGGAGGAGGATGAGGGGGAGAAAAAAAAATAGGGAGCTGAAAATTAACTTGGGTTTGCAAAATATCTTGGCAGGATGACAGTGATTTTTGATTTTCAGGAAACAATATTAGAATTCTTATTAAACTATGTGCATCTGCTTTTAATTTGCTGCAAATAATTGGAAAATGCAATGGAGCTTTCCAATTAAAGCTCCACTTTATGCTGTTTAATAATACCCTCATAATATTATAGCTTATGAAATGACAGGTGAGTTGGTGTATGAATAAAACATAAAGCCCTGTAATAAGAGACAGAAAAAAAAGAAGAGGAAAAAAAAAAACGAGACAGTTGTTGGGGGGCTTTTAAATGCTCGACATAATTTGCATATATTAATCTCCTCTTTTCAGCCTTATCAAGTATTCCACTGTATTTGAAGTTAAAATAGTCGTGACAGGCAGGGGTACGCTTCGTTTTTCCATGGATTTATTACTTGTATAATTCTGGATCTTTAATAAGCCAATATGACTGATCCTCTGAGTTCTGTGGAATTTGGTTAATTGTTCCAGATGGTGCTCACTGATTATGCAAAATTACTTTCTTTCTCCTTTTTCCCCCCCTACCAACTACACTATTTCTTGATTGACTAACATGGAGAAAAAAGATTATTTTTGGCGCAGCACTTTCATTAAGAGGGTTCTCATCAGGTTTCAAACAAAAGTTCCATCTTATCTCCCTGTGTAGTTCTGGGCGAGGCTGTGCAGAGGGAGGAGATCAGCCGGCTCTTATCTCAAACCATGATGGATCTCAACTGCTTCTGCACCGCTGGGGTTATATTTTAGAATAACACAATTCTTTAGGCTGAGGGATTAAAAAACACGACCTCTGGATAGTGACACAAAAGTTATTATTAGTGTACAGCGTTCGCTTCTTTCTCCTTTCTCTCTCCAAAGATTGATGAAATTGCTAAGCAGCTGGGTTTGTCCTCCACTTGCAGCTCGGGCTCCATCCACAACTCACTAACATTCTGTTTTGCATCAGCTAAACTGAGCTGAATGAATCATTTATGGAAGTGTTATGGGGGAGGTATGGGCAGATTTACTGCCGAGCTTTTACTTTAGATGGAATGGGATTTCTATGAAACCGATCTTGATGTCTGAAGTAATGCCAAAGCTTGCATCAAGACATGAAAGGAACGCTCTTAAAACCCACGTTTTGCTTCTTAATTCCCCTGGTCAGCAAAAGGCAAAACATACAGAGAGAGAGAGGGAAAGTTCACAGGGAGAACTGTAGTATTTACATCTAATGCCTGTACAGACATTCTCAAACTACTGCTAGCAAGTCTTGATACAAAGAAGCACCTGATTACCTCATAATAAATGAATGGCATATAGTTTAGTGCTTCTGTGCTCATATTAACCTATATGTACGTTTTCCATATTGACATGGCAGCATGTCTTGGGTGGATACTGCACGCGTGAAGCGAAGATCTGGCACAAAATGCTACGGTGCAAATCCTGTGCTAAAATATAATAGCAATAAATAATGTTTTTTGTGTTAAAAAATCCAAATCCAAAATCCAAATCTCTTGAAAAAGGTTGCTTTCTCCTCACATATCAAGCTTTGCTTCCTATTTAGAATAAAGTTCGGATGGTTTGTTATGTAGATCTTGTTGTTTTCACATTTTTTGCATTATTCCAGAAAGTGTCAGTTTCTATTTTTAAACAAATGACAGGCACAACAAGTATTTCCAGTTGTAGATATAGTCAGACGTTGTGGAGTACGACTCAGTGTCAAAAAGCACATCTGGATTAAAGGCTTTCACGCCATTCAGTCACTTTTATTCAATTAGACGATCCAGGTTTAGTAGCAAAACATGATTGATCCTGGTGCGACGGTGCCATTAAGTATTTGAGGATCAATCCTGTATAAATCCTAATGGAATTTTTGACTCCAGCATTGAGGCCCTCGGGCATTTTTTGGACCTTTATTACAGTCAAATAAGAGACTTTAAATGGCTTTGCATTTGCAGGCCAGACTGGACTCTGGAGTCTCATCCCTCATTGCTTTCTATCCATCCCTGAGATAGAAGCAGTGCTCCATTAGTTTCAGTGTCCAGACGTGGACAGGCTCAATGGATGGGCCTGTCACGGCTCCCTCATTTGCCCCATGTACAGCAGGGTTTGTTATCACACATCTAATTAGAACTTGATAAAAAATATTTCACAAAAATCCAGTCATTAAATATAGTTTAAGGAGATTTATGGTCAAATATGCCTTAAAGATCTTTTAATGGCTCTGCTGACTTGTTAAGTTTGTAATTAATGATCTTCTAATACATACTGTGGTGTGATTTAGAAAGCACAATGAGATTCTGGGAATGAAGTCGTTTTGGAAAAGGGCATCTGGGGTTCCCAGAAGCTATATTAAATGACTCTGCTCACACTGGTTTGCTTAAAACCATGAAAGTCTGCTGTGAAAAGGTTCAAACACATCCGTGTGCTTGCATAGATTGGGGCCAGGCGCAGGGAATATTGCATTATTATGAAACGGCTGGCTTGTCGTTTTGCAATAGTCCATTAGCGTGTACAGAGAAGTTCCAGGCTCAAACGTAACAGCACTTTTATTTAGGTGCTGCAAAATATCTCTTTTCAAAGTCCACTCATCCTCACACTGTAAAAGTAATAAGCAAGTGAATATGTATCAGACTGTAAATGCATTAT